AAAAATATGATTTGAGCAGCTTGGAGAGTGTTCTCTCCGGCGGTGCGCCGTTGAGTAAGGAAGTAATTGAAGGATTTGTAGAGAAGTATCCATCTGTGAGGATTTTGCAAGGGTATGGGTTGACGGAGTCGACTGGAATTGGGGCGTCGACGGATTCTTTGGAGGAGAGCCGGAGATATGGAACGGCGGGAATGTTGTCGCCGAGCATGGAAGGGAAAATTGTTGATCCGGAGAGTGGGAAGGCTTTGCCGGTGAATAAGACCGGTGAGCTTTGGCTAAGAGGGCCTACCATTATGAAAGGTATGAATCTTTACTATCATAATATATAAATGTGTCATTTAAGTTACGTATTTTAACTGGTAGATACACATATTTTATGTGAAGTAATAATATCGTGTAGGAGGCAAATTACTATATAAAATGTGTATATCTAATTGTTTAACTTTATACTATCCTTGTATATATCCAAAGTTAGAGTTAAATAACATGTTTAAATATTATGTTTTTGCTTATAGATGATTTTTTTTTTTTTGGACTTATATGTTTGTTGTTAGCAATAATTCAGTTATATATGGTAGGGGTGTACACATATCGGTTTGGTTTGGTTTGGTTTTTCATTAAATAAAATCTAAACCAATTATGTCGATTTATTAAATCTAAAAACCAAATCAAACCACATAAAGTTGGTTTTTTTGATTTTGGGTTTAGTCGGTTCTTTTGTTTTTTTTGGTTTTTTTGGTTTTTCGGTTTTTTACAACTATACGATTTTTGAAAAAGAGATCAAATATATTTTCACTTACCTGTGTGATAAGCTAAACTTAAAAAATATTGAATGAATAGAAATTTTTGAAAAGACGGTAAAATTCACATGAGTACAAAATATTTTTTTTGAAATATCAACGCTCATTATGTTAAATTAATAAGATTAAAGGCTACATGCAAACTGAATACAAAACAAATATTTACAAAGTAAATTGTTAACTTTGAATTTGAAAAACTATAACAATATAATTGTAACTTCGAATTTTAATACAAAATAAAGTATTTACAAATTTTATAAGCCCAAATTTGAAATAAAATATGTAAACATTGAAAACTATAAACTAACTAAAAATATATTAACAAAGTAGATTATAAATAATATTTTTTTATCTATAATTATATATATATAATATTTACAAAATTTTCCAAGCTCAAATTTGAAATAAAATATATAAACATTGAAAACTATAAACTAACTAAAAATATATATTAACAAAGTAGATTATAAATAATATTTTTTATCTCAATATATATATATATATTATGTCGGTTTGGTTTGGGTTCGATTTGACTTTTTTTTCTTTTAATACCAAACCAAATCAAGAGTGGTCGTTTTTTTTTTCAACCGCCAAACCAACCAAACCAAATCACAAATTGATTTTTTTTTCTGATTTAATTTGGTTCATTGATTCGGTTTGACTTTACAGTTTGACTTATACACCCCTAATATATGGTACATGTTTGGACTAGACGGGAATACTAAAGAAATAATTGAAAGAGATGGTCAAATTTTTTATTTTATTTTTATAACAATGACGTCAGGGCTAGTTTGCATACATATAACTAATTTTATGGGTTAGTTGTTAATTTCCGCACCACTCGGCTAACTCCATTCACCAAAACATGGATAAATTAAAAGAAAACATCTTATATTTTTTGTTTTAGAGTTTGAATTTGAGATATCATAGTTCTCTATTCACTTGAGAAACTCTTTCCTTTTTGATGTGTCAAAAATGGTTTAACTTGAACTTCAACATGCATGCTTTTATTGCCATAAAGATAATCATGCTATGTGTAAGCTAAATAAAAAAGGAAATTATGCTAAGTTTATGTTACAAGTTTCAAAACACTTTTTTTTTTTTGAATTTTATGGTCAATTATGCACTATCATATACTCTCTTTGTCCCTAATTACTTGTCCACTTTTCCATTTTTGGTTCCTAATTACTTGTCCATTTTAACAAATCAAGAAATGATAATCTTTTTTTACCTATTATACCCTCAATTAATGACTTGAAAAAGATAGAACTTTTTGAAAATCTTAATATTTTAATTCATTCACTTCATAATTAATAGAGCTAAATGATAATCTCACTATAACATTAATTGTTTTATATTAATGTGTCAATTCAAAAGTGGATAAGTAATTAGGGACAAAGGGAGTAAATGAGAACTGTTGGGGTATTTTTCTTCTTTTAAAAATATTTTTAATTTACATAACATTTAATTTGATAAAAATGCCTCGGCACTTATTGCTTTGAAAAAATCTTCTTCTCTGGCTAGTGAGCTTTTGTTCCAGTCCATACATTATGAAAGTGTAATTATTTATATCAACTTTGCATTATGTTTTGTCTGTCCCACTGCTTTTTCATAGTGCTTTGATGGTCCCATAAACTAATGGGGGACTGAAGAAATATTCAGCACTTCCTCCATTTCTTGTTTTTTTACACCAATTGCGGTAGGTCCTTCAGAAATAGTTTCTCTATCTTCACGAGATAGGGATAACGACTATGGTATATTATACATCAACTGAATAGTCACTTGCACAACATAGGATCAAATTAGAAGTAAGTTCAATATCACCTTAAAAGATTTATTTTCACATGTTAGAAATTGTTTGTCATATTTAGGTATTTGGAAATTGGTTTGATGTTTTGATCCAAGCGAGCCTTGGAGCAATGATTAAGTTATCCCCGTATGATCTTATAGATCACAGGTTCTTGCAAAGGAAGCAGCCAATAATGCTTGCATTATGGTAGATTGTCTACATCACACACCTAGGGGTGCGGCCCTTCCCCAAACCCTGCTAAGCTAGATGCTTTGTGCACCTGGTTGCCCTTTTCTTTTCGTATCTATGCTTAGTTCATTGATAATTCACAAGTTTGTGAGAGTGATATCCATTGACCTATTGTTATAGCCTTCATTCATGATTATGTTGCTGCGAAAAACAGGTTATTTCAGTAATGAAGAAGCTACTGCTTCCACTCTAGACTCTGATGGATGGTTAAGAACTGGAGATCTATGCTATATAGATGAAGATGGTTTCATTTTTGTGGTTGATAGATTAAAGGAGCTCATCAAATATAAAGGATATCAGGTAAATGAAAACAAACTCTCTCATTCTTCCAATATATAGTTGGCTTTTCGCCAAATGCCCTAAAACGTATTTTGCATATAGTGTTATCTAAAGTGAAAAATGAAAAAAAGCTCTTAGGTCTGTTGGGGCTAAAAGCGTAAAGCACAAAAAAATTTATTGAAAGGTGCAAAGGGAGAACATAATACAAATATGTATGTGTAGTCCAAAAGTAATTTGAATAGCATATAAAGAGAAATATCAACTGTTTAGTGTTGCATTTCACTTTTGGTAAGGAAAAATATGTGTTTAGAGTCTTGATGACTACATTGAAGTGGATAAGTGAGGCGAAAGATTCAACATGTCTTGCTCCTTGCTTCAGAGCTTAAGTGCGCTTTATACATGATCTGACACTTTTCTTTATAGTTAAAACTTACAACAGTACTCTCTTAACAACTTTTCATATCATCTTCTAGGTTCCTCCAGCAGAGTTAGAGGCTTTGTTGCTCACTCATCCAGACATTTCTGATGCTGCTGTTATACCGTGAGTATTACTTCAAATCGCGCTTCCTCTTATGCTTTACTTTTTCAGTATGAATCTCTGATGATCGTTTCATCAATCTCGTTGTGTTCAAGGTTTCCGGATAAGGAGGTTGGACAGTTTCCTATGGCATATGTAGTACGAAAAACTGGAAGTACCATATCAGAGAGTGCAGTCATGGATTTCATTGCGAAACAGGTAATTTTTGAAGTCACATTTACTAGATCAATTTGTATGATAAGAACTCAGACTTGAAACTGGTTTTCGATTTCTGGAAATAGAATCTGTAGTGATGCTCAAATTTATCGCGTTTGTTTGTGTAGGTTGCTCCATACAAGAGAATTCGGAGAGTTGCATTTGTGGCTTCCATACCGAAGAATCCTTCTGGCAAGATACTTAGGAAGGATTTGATAAAGCTAGCAACATCAAAACTCTGAGAACAAAAATTATGATTTTTGCATTTTAGCAAGTGTAGCAGCCATAGTGTTGTTCTTGTGCTAAATAATGAGTGTATACTGAAACTTATTCTTGTTGATTATAAGTAATTTGAAGAGTTCTATCTTCTCAATGAATGTGTGAGCTTCTGTTAACTTGGTATGATTGTGAAGGAGTATGAAGGGAATGATTCGCAATTACGCATTTATTAACTCAACTCATTTTGAACTGTCTAAATTTAACTCCACCGCCCATTGGACACCCCAAATGTTATGCAACAAGTAAACAAATGAAACAGTTATTAACAGTAGCAAATTGCAAGTGGAAAACATTTCTCATCAACGTATGAAAATGTGGCTTTTGGTAACAGCTAAAGTTGTTGTCATGTGATCATGAGGTCACAGGTTTGAGCTATGGAAACAACCTCTAGTAGATTCCTAAAATGCAGGGTAAAGCTATAAACAATAGACCCATATGGTACGACCCTTCCCTGGACCTTGCACATAGCAAGAGCTTAGTGCACAAGACTACCCTTCAAACGAAAATGTGGCTTCTATGATCTCCATTTTTATCATTCTACAACTTCAACTAGATCACTGCACAACAGGTTGCAGCCATTTTTATTTTGCTTGCTAAGCATTATTTTAGGGTCATTCTATTCCTGTAAGCATCTAACGAAAGATAATCGGTGAGCAAATAGATTGCACATAAGCAAAAAGAAAGAGATTACTCGATCTATTTCCATATCGCTCATGATATATATCAAAACTCTGACATCCATTGCAACTGTATATTGCACTATTGCCCAGCAGGATAATGAAAATCCACAAAATAAAAGCAAGGTATATGAAATTTCATAATATGATGAAGGATAAAACCAACAAGACCAAATATCACCAGCAGAAACATCTGCTGTAATAGGAGTGGGAGAGATAGCTCTATTGTTAAATTATATCCCAAAACATTTGATCAGCTTGCCTCTAATTCCATTGCGTATTAAGGAAACAAAAAAAGCACCAAAGGAACATCAAACTAGCAGTAAGATATTTCTCTTAATTTACAGGAAAAAGAGTTTGTCCCCCGTTGTAAAATAGTTCTTGCATCCTACACCTCTCTACATGGATAATGGGAGAAGCATCCTTCGCTTCTTTTTCCGCGCTGATCTTACTTGCTTTGCTATTTTCATGCATAAAAGCAATAGCAAGGTCACACATACTAAAATAAAAGCAAGCTTTAGATGCCTGAAGTACAGTGATACGGCAGAGAAAACCAGGAAAGCTAAAATAACTAGTTCCCATATCACAAAGATGACAACATCCACCCTGCATCAACGAAGAGAAGAAATAAGAGAAGGCACAGGAGAAAGTATATTCTAAGTTACAGCATGAAGTGGTAATGACACATAGACAATGATAATCCTCCACAGCAGGAATTTGCAAAAGGTTTTATTTAAGAGACCTATACAGCTCTAGGACCAAGCAGCAAGGATCCACTCACTGAAGTCTTCATCCGGTCCATTATTAAAGGTCCGGCCTAAACATTTTCACTCGATCCAGCATTTGCTGCATCCACATGTACTAGCATATTCAATGTTTTTGAATAAATCTCTCAAAACAAATGACTAATAAATCATCTCTGCCTTTGAGATTTTAATTTGCTAATTTCTTGTTATTACCAATAACTCATCTGACTCTCAACACTATCGAATAAAGAGGAAGAACATGCACATCAACCTATGCCATAGCTCATATCAACTCCTAAAATGTGTTAAACATACCAAATTTTTCTTTCTGAAGGTTTAGCTAATAGTAGATAATTATTTGGTAAAAGTAAGAAGAGGTGACTTATCAACAATATAAAAATACAAAAAGAGGTAGAGAAGCCTCAAAATGTTAGGAGCCGCTTTTAATAATCCATGGAAATATGACATTTCAAAAGAACTTAGATATGATTGTATAGTATATAATGATTAGACTCAACAAGAGTGGGATGACACCTACCATGTAGTACGTAATATTCGTAAGTAAATATTCTGTCATTTGAAGTGGAGAAAGTCCCTTATACCGTAGTCTACTTCTCAATGCATCTAGTGGAAAGGTTTTGAGGAAAGACTAGCAAGGTGGAAGATGCATTGTTTAGAAACAGGGGCAAGTTTAACCGAATAATACATATATTGCCTTTTCTTATTTCATATTAGAAAAACATCCTCATACTAGAAAGCACCAATGCAATGTAAACGGTATAAAAGTATTCCAGCTTACATTCCATACAGATTCAGTAACCATTGAATGTAATTATTTTTTCTTATTCACTATTGCAGCTTTAGTAGCCAAAATAGTCTAGCAAATCTAGAAGAACTTATGAGGATGAAATAAGGGGCAAAAGAAGGCATGTAATAACAGATGCAAAGGCTTTTGATGTGGTTATATTTCACCACAGGTCATCTATCCTGAGTTTGCAGAAATTCAATAAATTAAGGTGGGGATCATGTCAAAAGGTTTGTGGGTGGAAGACAATACTAACAAAAGTGGGCAAACCTAGACTGCTGAGTGAGATATCCTCCTAGGTTGAGCATTATTGATGAAATTATAACTAGAAAGAGGGAAATAGGAGAAGTTCAAAAGCTGTATAGCAGTCACTCCTTAAAGTTTTATGGATACTCCAGAATTATCGAATAAATATCGGCTGCTGAGTGAGATGATATCTATAATAATGAGGGATTTATGTGAGAGGGTTTTCAACATTTAGGATTTAGGAGAGAAGTGAAGGAACGGAAGCTTGTTAGTTCCAAGGAGCTGTTGAAGGACTTGACAAACTACAACAAGGAGGATGATAAATGTTCATTGAGAACTGAGCATCAAATGAACAGCACATTCAGTCTCAAATGCTTCTGCGTGTTATTATTGCAACAAGGACAAACTCAAGCGACTCCATGGAGAAAGAGGAACCCGATGAAGATGATTCAAAGAAGGGTAGGAAATGGCCAACTGCACTTAAGAGCAGTTTAGTGACCTTTGTGTATAAATAACCCATTGTAATCAGTTTACCCTTGTCTAATACAAAACTACTGCTGTTACCTTTGTCAAAAAAAAATACAAAACTACTTCATCTTCTGTATTTTTCTTCTTTTAGAGCCATTCTATCAGAATTCCTTGGTACCCTGAATTGTGAAACTTCGAATTCTTCTTGAAGTCCTAGCTTTTCATGTAACACATTCATTGCATAAATGGCCTAATCTCTTTAGACTAATTAGTGAAACAGGATTGTCAATCAATCGAGCCACATCAGAAAAACTTTTCTGGCAAACAAATACTTGGAGTATATCTAATATCTTCACAATGTTCCTCTATTCAAAAGACCCAATCTTTAACCATCCAAAGAACTTTGACGAGGCAAAATCATCAACTAACAACAACATACCAAATGTAATCCTACAAAGTGCGGTCTGGGGAAGGTAGGTGTATCCAGACCTTACCCCTACCCTGAAGGTAGAGACATTGTTCCCTATAGACCCTCGGCTTGATGAAAACAACAGCAACAGCAATATACCCAGTCTAATCCCACACGTGAGATCTGGGGAAGGTAGTGTATACCCCCTACCTTGGGAGGTAGAGAGGTTGTTTCCCCTCTGCTCACAGGGGTCAATAAACAAAGGCAAAATACTACACAAGCAAAACAAAGGAGTCCGAAAAAAGAACACTATACGATAATCGAAGTATCCTATATTATAATCCCGAGTATAATCACAAAAATTAACCTCCAAATGCTGGAATTTACCAAATCAAATCCAATTCTCACAAGTATCAATTCAACAACAATTTCATAGAACATAAATATGCTTTAAGGAGTGCAATTCCATAGGATAAGCAAAAACATGAGAGATATCAATTTAAAAGGTAAAACAAAAAAAAACCTAATCGGAAATGAATGATACCTTGAGGATGTTAAGTTAGAGGTAGAAGAGAAGAAAGAGACGGATGCCCAATCGTGCTTCGATCTAATCTGATACTCTCTCAGCTGCTCTGCTAGCTTCGATCTCGTAATCATCGTTCCGTTCCACCTTCCGATTCCTCCCCCGCGCTTCCTCTCTCTCTCTATAGCTCTCAATCGATTCAAATGTTGATTCTGTGCGTAAACCTACAGCTCTCCTATGCGCGCATCGATAGAGAGGAGATCCCGGAGAGACGAACGTGCCGGCGGCAATGCGGCGACCCGGCGGCCGGCGATCGGAAGGGATTTTGAATTATTTTATTACTAACAGAAAAACTTATGTTCGTTTGTGTTGTTTTCCTATTTCTCTGTACAATATTGTGACTCTTTTCTAATATTTCAACTAAATCTTTTTATTTTTATATATTAGACGTAAATAAAAAAAAAAAAAAACTTTTTTATTTTCTTCTATAGTATATATATGTCCCTAGTTATCAATTTCTAGCAATCGTAGCCAATTTTAATTTTTATAGCAATTCATCGTAATGTCGAGATTTAGTAGCTAAATTCTTTCAACTCGTCTTTAACTTCAAAAACGAAGGTTGTAATAACAAAAACGATATATGATAATTTGGTATTAGCTAGTAAAAACAAAAAAGACATGGCTCTGTATTTAATACGATATACGATCAACGAATTTCTCCCTTAAAAGGAAAAGAATTAACCTCGTTTTCTTTTCGTATCGACACTCGTTGCTCGAGGAGCGGATACCATAAAAAAAAAAAAAAATCTTAGAGTAAGTTATTATTTAAATTGTGCCCTTAAAATGTGAATGCTTGCGAGTGCATTAAGTAATATTCACTCCTTTTAACTTCTGATTATGCTTCAAATGAAAGCAGAAAACAGAAAAATTCAACAAAAATATGCAAAAGAGTAATAACATTACTCTGAAATATTCTTGATCTTGTATAATCCTAGTTACATATCGAATTAACGTCACGATTCATATGGATTATGAAGCAATCCTTTTTCAAGAACACGAGACAAGTATAACAGGGATCGATCACTTATCCATCCAAATAACACATCGTAGACTCTTTCCTTCAACGAGTAAATCAAAAGCCTTGTTGATGTCTTGAAAACTCACTTCGTGTGTTACAAACTTGTCTAGTTCCAATTCCTAAAGCAACACGAAAAAGTAATGACTAGTAAAGATGCAAATGATAAACGACACACACAAGAATCAGACCAAAATTGCATTTACCTTGTCAAGGTAACGTTTGACAAGAAGAGGAATGTCAGATTTGGGTTTGAGACCTCCAAACAGTGATCCCATGATGGTTTTCCCCATATGTAGAATGTCGAAAGATTTAAATGTCAGAATTGCTCCCGGTTTATCAACTCCTACGACAATTGTCTTTCCCCAACCCTGATATAACAGCCAAAGTTGGAACTATAACGAAATATATACGTATGAAGAGTAGTTCTAAGGAAGTTATTTTGATGGTTATGAATGGAAATGCTATGTGGGAAAACCTTTCGACAGCAGGCATATGCTTCCTGCACGAGTGTTCCCATACCAACACACTCGAAGCAGTAGTCAGCACCTCCGTTAGTCATCTCATTTATCACCTGGTCAAAAAATGGCCAAAAGGAAATGTGATCATCATCGGCATGAGAGGATCTAATATTACGTACATTTGTCATCTCATTTATCATCAGCACAAGAAGGATAGGTGATAGCTTAGTGATTTGTCTAATGCACTCATTTCATCAAACGATAACAATAATCTTCTTTTATTATGCATCCACAAAATCGGATCAATGAAGAAGGTAAATCAGTGGTTGGCTTTATAAACTTTGGAGCATCGAATATCAAGCTGAGCAATAAAAAACCGACCTGGCTAATAGGTTTATCCTCATGGCTATTTGAATTGACAAAATCAGTCACTCCAAATTGCTTTCCTGAGTCAAATGAGAAAAGTAAAGAGCATGGAGGACACGAGAAACGCGGAAGAGTATTATTATTCAATCTTCTCCTCGGATAAATAGCTCAAGTTTCTAGTAGCAAACAAACAGAGAACGAAACAAATTGGGAAGAATGAAGAAGAAAGTTCACCTATTTCGAACTTGTCAGTGTTTATATCTACGCCAATAATTCTTGAAGCACCACATATCCTTGATCCCTCTGCGACCTATAAGACGTACCGTAAGCATATAAATCCACCAACACCAACTCGACTACCAATATGAGCAAGAAGAAGCAGAAGAGAAACATACTGCTAATCCAATTCCGCCCAAACCAAATATTACAACAGTTGATCCTTGTTCCACATTTGCAGTTTTCAGGGCAGCACCTACTCCTGAGCTCATCTTACATAATATCAGACTTGAACTTATTCAAAATTTTAAAGAGAGTTAGATAAATTTGTATTCGTCTATAGATTTCCTTTTAGACATCTGATGAATAAGATTACAGAAAACAATTTCGTATGATGATTTAAGCACGGTGGCTATTAAGAAGTTGAAACTGAAATGACATTAAGTCTAAGAAATGATCATGCTGGAAAAGGAAATTTAGATGGGGTCAGAAACTAACCTGTTGATACTCCACAACTAAAGAGGCATGCCCTGTTAGGTGGAACACGAGGATCAATCTTTGTTACATTAGCAATGTCTACAACAGTGTACTCGGCGAAACTTGATACAAACAGACAATGGTATAAAGTTTCTCCATCAACGGTAGTGAATCTACTTGTACCATCTCTAAGAATCCATGGAGATACCTTAAATTGGAATTTTGAACAATTGTTGCTCTTCTTGGATGTGCAATCTATACATTCAGTACAGTCGGGCAAAAATATCGGGATAACTGAATCTCCTTCTTTTAAATCCTGGACATTTTCTCCAACACTCTCCACAATCCTTCAGTGAATAACATGCAATAAGGAAAGAGTGTTTTCACGCACTGGTCAATTGACGGTAAAGGTCTTAAGGATAACAAAAGGAACGCCTTTACATATTACACTAAAAGTACCAGAGGAAAATGAACTTTCAGAGAGAAAAATCTTAATCTCACAAGAACACAAGCTTAAGAATAACCACGCCATCATCAATGCACAGTTGTCTCTTTAAAGCATGCATGTTTGACTTAAAGACATAGCCTAGTGGCTTTACGATAAGTGGCTAGCGCTAAATGAAATTCGTAAGGAGTTACATACTAAAGCCCAATTATTCAAAACATGAGCTAAAATAAAATCTGCGTTGAAATTACAGACTGGTGAAAAGGGGTCTGCAGTGACTTCCAACAATAGAACAAATATTGAGCTGACCCTCCATTTCAATTTAGGTGTCTTAGTTTGACTAGGCACGGAGTTTCAGAATACAAAGGAGACTTTTGAATCCCATGGTCTTAAACTAAAGGTGTGTCAAGTACTAAATGTGCTTTTGAATCTTTGTCTTAGACATGCTATGCGGAATATAGCATAAAAAATCTACCAAATATAGATAGATACATCCTTTTTTTTAGCAGATGGAAAGTATGATACTTGAATTGAAACAAAGGGAATAACATTTACAAACACTCAAGTATTCTTTAAAACCCTTACAACAGATAATAAACGAATTTGATAGGAGAATATACTAAAAGTACCCGAAAGCTTCATGGCCCAATATTCTTGGAAAGCATCCAGGAAAGTCCTAAAGGAAAACCAAGAATCAGATGATTCAAAAACAAGTTAAGCAAACACTTTCTACAGTAAAAAGATTAAATTTTTGCAACTTTAATTAGCACAAAATTACATACTTTCAACTTCCAGAAGGTAACATCACTGTGACAGAGAGAGGTACAAATGATCTTTATACGAACTTCACAGGATTTAGGAGGAGCCACAATCACCTCCTCTATCACCAGAGGTTCTCCTGCTTTTCTTGCCACTGCAGCTGCAAATGTCACTCACAATTAAGCGATTTTTTTCACTAAATAAAACAAAACTGACAAAATTCCTCCTACCCCTTTTCAAGATTCCTCAAAAGATTCAACCTTTGATCCATATAAAGAACACAGAACTTTTCCATAGGCTGACACCAACTAAAATTACTCAAATTTACTCATATTCCTTCGCCTTTTAAGTGGACCTAACTTAACCCCACAAGCTAACTCGAGAGAGACGCTTACCAAAGGCACCAATGTGGGACTCAACAACAATTACCTCTTACTATACTTCATATTAGAGCCAATGGGCATGTTAGGGGGCACAAGGGGTTCATTCGTAACCACTTCGTCATAAAATTACATTATATATATAAGGTCATTATTTAGGAGGCACAAGGGGTTCATTCGTAACCACTTCGTAATAAAATTACACTGTCTATATAAGCTCATTATTTTAAGTATATATCTCAACTTCTTTACCCCCATTTCAAGATTCCTTAAAGATTCAACCTTTGCTTGCAAAACATAGGCAATCCTTAGATCCACATAAAGAAACAAGATTGTTTCCATAGCTAACAACATCAACTAAAATTATAATCAAAGATTCTTTAAAGATTTGATTTTGAAAAGATGGGGACAAAACTTGTGGTGGTGGTGGGGGGGGGGGGGGGGGTTGAAGGGAGTTTCTGAAGAGTACCTCTGCAATGAATTGGCTTTCCAGCAGTTTTGCTCAATTTAGCTTGTGTGGCAGCCATTGTTAAAAGCTTAAAAAAAAAAAAACTAAACACTCTTGGAGGGTGTGTGGTGTGTTTGTATTTTCAATTTTTAGTGTTGGTCAATTTTTATGGTGTCATTATCATCTATCTTTGTCATAATAGGAATACAAAATTTATGATACAAGTAGATTTTAACTTATGTGTTTATAAATGGATAGTGGTAGTGTGTTAGGTGTGGAGGAAAAGAAAATGTTTTTTTTTAAAAAAATAAAAATTATAATGTTTGGTTATTAAGATATTTTAGAAAATATATTTTTAGAAAAATGAGTTCTTTAAAAATTATGAAAATGGTATTTATGTCCTCTAACTTTAGGTGTATAGAAGTAGACACACACTTAAACTTGTACAAATAGACACATTCGTCCTATATGACTTCTTAAATCTTACATGACAATTTTTTGTTCTATGTGACGTCCTATGCGTATTATGTCACATAAGACATGTGTGTCTACTTGTTTAATTTTATACAATTTAAAATGTCTACTTATACAAATCAAAAATTAAAAGACATAGATATCAGCTGAAACCAAATTAAATAACATATTTATGTATTATGTCTATTTTTAAAGTATATCGATAATATAATTTAAGGGAAGGAAACATCGTGACACACATTTTGACCAACTATGCAAGGATATATAGCGTTTTCCACTAACTTACCTATTATTAATAGGTAAGTTTGAGAATATATATTAGTATCCCAAATGTAATAGTTTTTTTTTTGTAGAAAAGGATATATATTATATATAGTTAAAACAGTACATGAAATATAAAATTTCCTTTCTCTAAAAATAATAATAAGTTTTTCAAGAACATGTGTCCTATTATTTTCTTATTTTTAGGCTGATATATTTATTTGAAAATACATATATTTTTCTGAAAATAAAATTTGCTATGAAAAGAACTAACCCGTTGTGTTTCAATTGCTATAGCCTATATCTATAGATGGCCCCCAATCCTTTTTCACTCAATCTGAGGTAGAATTTTAAAATCTTCAAGATTTTTTTTGAAAAAAAAAAGTATTTCCACTTTAAATTATTTATAAAAAGTTAAAAACAACTTCAACTTATATTCATAACCAATTTTCTGAATGAAACATAGTGAAATATCCGCTAAAAATATAACAACAAAATAATTGATTTAACTAGATTAAAAGTGTCGAATTCGAACCCTGGGTATAGAAAAGTCCTCGGTAGAGAGCACTTCCCCCGAATGGAGCCCTACAATGCGAATTTGAAATAGTTAGACTCCAATGCGGATACCAAACATCAGATCGGATGGATATTTAAAAATAAAATAAAATAAAATAAATAAGATTTAACTTTTTTTGATTGAATTTTCTATTGCTTATTTTGCAGGGTATATATTAGGGGTGTGCATCCGGTTTTTCGGTTTGATTTGCATTATTTGGTTTGGATTTTTTTGATTTTTGGTTTTGTAAAAGTGTAACCCAATCCGATTCAAAATAAATTTGGTTTGATTTTCCTCTATTCGGTTCATCTTTTTTCGATTGGGTTATTTGGTTATGTCAATAATTAATAACATAACGAAAGTAATAATATTGAATATCTTAAATATACTTTCTAATATAACTCATAAATAAACTTAAAACACAATATTTATAGATATATCTATTATAGATGTTCAAACATAAAATATAAACTTAATCATAATGAAAAACACTAACAAAAAGGGACAAAAGTGGTTAACTCCAACTTAATTCTAACCCTAAACATTTTATTTATAAATGTATATGTATATATATATAAAATAATTCGATTTTTCCAATTTTTATATTTTAAAATTCAAAATCAACCAAAAAATCAAACAAAGTAAATTATTAATCCAAAATCAATCAAAAAACCAAACAAGTAAATTATTAAATCCAAATAAAATTTTGATTTGATTTGATTATTCTATTTAATCCAAATAGCGCACCTACAGAGAGAGAAATAAAGCATAGATACTTGTAAAAGAAGTTATTGTCAATCGTTCCAACGAAGAAATGGCTGATACCAAATCGAACCCAAATTCCGACGAACAACTCCTTGTTTGGCAGAGGGAACTGCCCCGCCGGTTCTTGGCCGGTGAGGTTCTCTGGGACGACGACGTATTCATCCCTGCAGGCGTTTCGAAGGAGCATAGCGCTATATTACAGAAAGTTTACACGAAATACTTCTCTCAGATTTGTGAAACTGATGTCAGTGTTCTTCCCCTGCTTTATCTATCGAGTATCTGTATTCATACATTGTTTACTACCTGTAAATCTGTTCATAATCTGATTTGTGAAAAAATTGTTTTGAGGAATTGTTGTTTCAGTTAGTTGCGATCAGTTTTATGATCAATGAGAGTACCAATTATTAAGAGAAGCTTTCGTTGGCTGAGGGTGATCTTAATATTAGTAGTATATTTCTAGATGTTGATTAGGTATTTAGCCTGTTTATCTAGAGTATTCTCAATCCTAGGATTTTTAGATGTTGATTAGTATCCCCTGCTTTATCTATCGAATATCTGTATTCATACATTGTTTACTACCTGTAAATCTGTTCATAAACTTATATTGTCAATTTGCAAGCCAATGCAAAAGTGTTTTGAGGAATCGTTGTTTCAGTTAGTTGTGATCAGTTTTAAGATCAATTAGAGTACCAATTATTAAGAGAATATTTCCTTGGATCAGTAGTATATTTTTTTAGATGTTGAAGTTGTTTAGCCTGTTTTTTTTTTATCACATAAGTTGTTTAGCCTGTTTATCCAGAGTATTCTCAACACTAGGGTTTTTAGATGTTGATTAGTTGTTTAGCCTGTTTATCTTAATACAATTCCTGCTGCGATCACCTCCCTCTAATTTGAGCCTAGCTAACCTGTAATGTCCCAAGCTCTGCCCAGAGGCGTATCTAGAGGGGGTGCCATGGGTTCACGTGAACCCATGCTCCCCTCTCTAGATCATATATAGCAGTGTTATATTTTTTTTTAAATATTTAAATATAGATGTGTGAACCCATGTTCAAAGTATCATATAATAATGCGATGATGATTGGGTGCACTTCCCTAAGTGAGAGATAGAAATTTAAATCTTATATCTATCTTGTCTCTTTGAGTAACACTTTTCCAAGTGGTCATCAGTTACACTTTTGTCGTTTCAACTAATTTTTCTTTTGTTTTTTTTCTTTATTCTTTCAAAATTTTCAAGTGTGTTACATTGAGAATTCCTAAAAAATTTAGCATTGTAAATTTTTTATATAATTAAATCAAATGTGTATATTAAAATTTAAAACTAGTAGTATTATATATTTTGGACCTACAATTTTTAAACTTTAATGGTTCATATTACAAACTAAAAGTCAAATTGATCAAATTTATATTTAAGATACATTTTTTTTGTAATCGTGCACCCATCTAGCCGAAATCCTGGATACGCCTCTGGGCCTCTGCCCAGTCTGATCTCCCCATGCTTTTAGAGGCTCAAGTGTGGCAGATAAGATTGTGTAACTTACTTACAAGTTACAAGTCATTATTGTTTTGGTGTTACATGTTAATATATATATATATATATATATATAAGAGAATTCATGGTGCTGTTAGCGGTGGTGTTCAAGTGATTTGATTAGCACTACTTAATAGAACAAATACTGAAAGAGCATGTTAGCTCCAAAAACTTATATTGTCAATTTGCATGCCAATGAAAAAGTATTTTTGAGGAATCATTATTTCAGTTAGTTGCAATCAGTTTTAAGATCAATGAGAGTATCAATTATTAAGAGAAACTTTGGTGAGGGTGTTCTTAATATTAGTAGTATATGTTTAGATGTTGATAAGTTGTTTAGCCTGTTTATCTAGAGTATTCTCAACTCTAGGATTTTTTTTTAAATTATTATTCCGGATATTAAATCTACTCTGATCACCTCCCATGCATGTACGATTCCTGCCGCGATCACATCCTCTTATTTGAGCCTAGCTAACCTGTAATATCCCAAGCTCTGCCCAGTCTGATCTCCCAAAATTTTTAGAGGCTCAAGTGTAGCAGATAAGATTATGGGGCTTACTTATAAGTTACAAGTCATTTTTTTTTTTTGTGTTACATGTTAAAATAAATACATAAGAGAATTCATGGTTCTGTTGGCTGAGGGTGTTCTTAATATTAGTAGTATATTTGTAGATGTTGATTAGATGTTTGGCCTGTTTATCTAGAGTATACTCAACACGAGGAGTTTTCTTTCTCTTCTTCCGGATATTAAATCTACTTTGAGACGTGCTTGAGGAGGTTGTGCAATCTAATTGATCAAATAAAATAGACAGAACAAATTGACTGATTGTATTTATACTCCAATTCGTCATAGTCTCCGTTGTGTATCTTTTTCTTTTTTGGATGATACATATGACATGCTTCTTGTTCATCTATATTATCTGTAACATGTCAGACTCTCATGAGCCGAAGTTCTGCAAAAAAGATAACTGATACTTAAGACTTACATCCACATGTTCTCAATTCTTCCCAATTCCTGCCACGATCACCTCACTCTTATTTGAGCCTAGCTAACCTGTAATATCCCAAGCTCTGCCCGGTCTGATCTCCCGAAGTTTTTAGAGGCTCAAGTGTGGCAGATAAGATTATGGGCTTACTTAAAAGTTACAAGTCACTATTGTTTTGGTGTTACATGTTAAAAGAAAATGCATGGTGCTGTTAGCCGTGGTGTTCAAGTGATTTGATTAGCACTGCTTCTCTTTATTAAACAAAAAGACCAAATACTGAAAGAGCATGTTAACTACAAATATTAAATTTATGTACTTGATTGAATATCTGCTTCTTTGACTTTCACTTCCTTTAACTTTGTCTCTGCATGACTAAAATTCTGAACCGATCTGTGCAATAGAACTTGAAAATGAAATCATGTCTGATTGGCTAATATGACAGGGTTTCGACATTGACATCTATCCGGGTAAATCCCAGGCAGCTATGTATATTCCTTATCTGGATTTTGAGAACGAGAATGACTTGTTGATGGATCTGGCTAACCATGCTATTCAGGACTATAATGATAACAAAATTGATGTATGCCTCTATTCATCTAATCGTTCTCTGTTTGAACAATCACCCTGAATGTTCTTACAGTATTTTCTTCA